CGGGCGGGGGCGGCGACGGCGAGGGGCGCGCGCGGAGGGCGCGGGGCGCAGCATGGGCGGCCCGCGGGCCTGGGCGCTGCTCTGCCTCGGGCTCCTGCTCCCGGGCGGCGGCGCCGCGTGGAGCGTCGCGGGAGCCCCGTTCTCCGGGCGCAGGTAAGGACTCCCGTGCCTCGGTGCCCCGCCCGCGCGGCCGGGGGGCCGGGCGTCCGGGCACACGCGCACCCCGCCGCCGTGCAAGGCCGGGACGCGGAGGGCCACCCGTGCCCACTCCAGTGCCAGCGCGGGCCACCGCTATCCGGTGAAGCTCCGGGAGCGCGAGGTCCCTCAGCCCAGGCGTCCGCAGCCGGCAGCCTCCCCACTGCCTCCCCTTCAGCCCAGCGGAGAGGAGGGGGAAGGGGCTCGCGAGGATGAAGCCCCCCGGGACTTACGTCGCCCTGGCCCGAGGGCTCCTCCCCTTGCACGTGGGAAAGGCCCACGACCCCACCTCGCCAACTCTTTGGGGACCCCCCTCTCCCCTTTCCCCTGCTCCTGGCTTTTTTTAGTACCCGGGCTATGAATTTCCCTTAGGGGAAGGACTGGGGAGGAGTCTCACAGCCCACTGGGTCATGTCGGAGGCTCCCCCGGGACCTGGCATTTGGAACAGGGACAAGAGGAATCACTGTGCCTTCCTGCTGCTCTCCTAGTGGCTGGGAACATTCTCTCGCTGGCCTTTATGGGGTATCGCGCAGAACCTGGCGCCGTGGGCTCTTACATGCAGGCTCACCATTAATCCTTCAAGGGCGTAACGGAGCAGGGAAAACCCACCCCGTTCAACAGATGAGCAGACTGAGGCCCCAGGAGTGGACATCATCTTCTAGGCTCATGGGTTATTACTTGCAGAGCTGAGTTCAGATCTGGCTTTCTGGCCCTGATGACAGTGTTCGAACCTGCCCTGGCCCGTGTCCTGGCTGCAGCCCCTGCCCCCGCCAGAGTCCCCTCGCTCGGGCCAGGCGCCGTTGTCCAAGGCAGACAATGTGGAGTAGCCAGGCCTCTCCAGGCCTTTTCATCCCATTCAAAGGCCTGCCCGGCCCCTGCCCCCTATGGCCTCAATTCTTTAACTCCTTTCAGAAATTTTCCTTTCCCAGTGGTCAGGGGCCAGCATGCCCCACTGGGCTAGCAAAAGCAGGTGACATGGGCTGGGCTGGAGCATGGAGGTGGCTGAGGCATCACGGCCAAACGAGCAGTTGTCTGAGACAGGGACGGACACGTGGCAGATGTCACAGCCACCACCTACTGTGTGCTGACGACAGCCTCCAGAATCTTCCCAACTGCCGCTGGAGGCTTTTTATGATCTTTGTTTCATAGAGGAGGAAGCTGAGGCCCAGATGAGGGGTATGACCTGCCCGGAGCATGCATGTGAGCCCCAGGACCCCAGATGCTAAGATGACAGAGACTTTGAACTCAGAATTCCCAGTGTCAGGCTCAGGATGATGGTCAGAGAGCTTAAGGCCATGAATCCCTTCCAGCCAGTCCAGAGCAGGGCCCCCCAGCCTGGGCTCCTCACCCCTCAGGGTTTCCTGGGTGGGAGCAGGATGGCAGCTATGGGCAGGTATCCGGTGATCACTGGGGACTGTCACCCCATCTCTTCACAACTGGCTGTCACAGTAGCCTGAGTGTCACAAAAGCCCTGTGGGCAATACTATTGCTCCCATTTTACAGATAAGGAAACTGAGTCCTAGAGGGGAAAAGTGGCCCCTCAATCCAGGCCAGTTTCCAAATCCAGTGTCTTTCTCTCCCCAGCAGCCCTACTGGAGGAGGGAGAAGGGTTGTCAGCTTAGGGGCTGGGAAACGTTTGCGGGTCATGGTTAGGAGTTAGGGGCTCTGGCCTCAGACAGAACGAGGTTTTATTTCTGGCTCCGTCACCCACTCGATGTGTGATCTCAGGCAGGTCACTTCTCAGTTTCCTGTTTCCCTCTTTCCTTCGCTTATCCCTGCTTGGGTCCTGTTCTGAGGGTGGACAGTCCCCCCTGGGAAGGACCAGTGCAGGACCTCACTGACAGTGGTCCCTGCTTTCACCAACGTTAGGTGGGGTAGGAGCCTGGGGCCAGAGTCTGGTCCTTAGCTGCCAGGACCTCCGCTTGTGGCCTTGTCCCAGCGTTGGAGACAACATGGGGATGTCATGCTCTGTCAGCCCTCCCTCCACCCCCAGCCCGGGGCTCTAGGCGCCCCTTGGCAGTCGAGGGACCAGAGGCAGAAAAGAGGCTTTGTCCTGGGGAGGGGGTGGCCTGGGAAGGCATCCAAGAGGCCGCCCCCAGCCCCAGGAATGTGGTAAGACTTTGAGACCCCTGGAACCAGGGTCCCCAGGGGCTATGCAGAGCTGCCTCGGCTGGCCCCTGCCCCTGCCAGCCCCTCATGCCCTGCTGGGGCTGCTTCCTGCGCCGCCGAGGTCCCGCCCAGCCTGAAGCCACTTCCTTTAACTGCTCATCTCAGCGCAGCAGCTCTAGGGTTCAAGCCATGGTGAGCGTCCTGGCACAGGCCACTAACCGCTGTAGCACTGGCTTCCTTTGGGAAAATCCCAGGATCAGGGCAGTGGAGAACTCTGAAATGCATGGTATCTCCCCAGCCGCTCTCCACGGGGCTCGAATCCCAGCTCTGTGCACCCTGGGCAGGTGCTGTCTCTTGGAGCCTCAGTTTCCCCCTCTGTAAAATGCGGAGCCTGACAATGCCTATCCCAAAGTCAAGGGGAGGACCTTGTGAAGAAGATACTGTGCTGGTAGCTTCCCCTGGGCCACAGCTTCCCCTGGGAAGCCCCTGGGCCACAGCTGCCGGGTGTGGGGCCTGTGTCCGGGCTATGGCCCCAGAGTCCAGGAACAAGAATTAACAGTAGCTGTTACACTGTGCTCAGTGTTTCGTGTGACACCTCCCCTGCCAGAGGAGATTCTGCTGTCCCCATTTGCAGATGGACAAAATGAGGTCAGAGAGGGTCAGGGCCTTGTCCAAGGTCACTGATTTAGGAAGCAGCAGAGCCGGGATTGGAAATTCGCCCCCAACGTGGGGTTCTGGCTCTTGTCACCCCACCCCCATCCACCCAGCTCCTTTCTCTCCTCTCCTTTTCATGACAGCCTTGGCCCCGGGCCTGCTTGGCTGCCTCCCGCAATTAGTCCCTATCACTGTTCCGGATCGCAGCCCCAGGCCCTCTGGAGACAAAGTCCCCTGGGCCCCTCGTGGCAGGAGGTGGAGTGTGGGTATAGGTGGGGGGGCCCTAGTGGGGTTGGCTGATGCCAGGCTGAGCTGGTCTGGCCTGTTTTCTCCCCTCCCAGGGGCCCACTTCTGCTGAGTGGGCAGAAGCAGCGTGCGCAGGAGGGAAGTGCTGCCGCCTGAGCCCCTGCCCTCACCTTGCCCCACTGCCAGCCTCACCTGGCAGCTGATCACTGACCACACCCCAGCGCGGGAAGCCCCTGGGGCAGCGGGGATGGTACCTATCTCCTGGAACCTGCTGGCTCCTCTGCCCAGGGCCACAGTCCGTTCTCAGTCATTCAGTCATTCAGCAAACATCCCTGAGCGTAGTCCCAGCTGCATGCATCCCCCCTGCACCTGCTCAGTAGCTCAGGGCTACTGTGAGTGGTTGATGGTTACCCCCAGGAGAGGCCCAAACCCACGTGGACCTCAAGGCTGAGACCCAAGGGGATGAATAGGAGTTTGCTGGAGCAAAGGGGAGGGGCTCTCCAGGTACAGGGATCCTCGCATGCTAAGGTCAGAGGCGGAAGGGGGCCTGCATGGGTGTGCAGGAGAGGGGAGCAGCATGAGGAACGAAGGATGGGGCCAGCAGGCTGTGCAGCCCGATGGGGAGCCATGGCGGCCACGGACCCCATGGTGGGCAGTGGCAACGTTGGGTCTGTACTGCAGGAAGAGCCTGCAGCTGCCTCTGGAAAGTGGATGGGGGGCAGGAGGGCTGCCAGACCAGGCTAGGGCCCTGCAGAGGCACTCAGGCTTATGCTGGGTGCCCCGGGGCTGGGGTCTTCCAGGGGAGAGTGGGCACGGTTATTGGTGACCCCAGGTGGAGGGGACAAGGAGCTGACCTTGAACCCACCTGGCCTGAATGTCCTTTCCTGTCTAAAATGTCTGGCTAGCCGGCCACCAGCTCTATGTCTCCTAAGCAGGGGATTCAAGCAAAGTCCAGATTGTGGGAGATAAACCAGGGAGCCAGGCAGGGGCCCACATGAGGGAGATTTTAATTAAGGACGAAGGAAAAAAATTGTTTTTCTCTAGCTCCCCTGGTAAAAAGGGTGGCTCAGGCAACTGTGGACAGTCACAGACCTGCCTCCCCTGCCCTGTGTAGGGTACACAGCCCTGTGTGTGCCTGGGCCTGCCTCTTCCTGCTTGTGTGTATGTAAGAGGTGTGTGTGCACATGTGCGTGCACGTATGTGCGTGCATGTACATGAGCGAGGGCACGTGGACCTGTGCGTCCCTGTGTGGACATGTGCAGAGATCACAGCCTCAGCCTATCTGTGTCCGTGTGAGAGAGCATGTGTGTGCATGTGCATGTGTTGGTGTGTGAGCGTGTATGCAAGTGTGGACACATTTGCAGGGAGGAGGTTCGACTGTGATTGTGTGTCCCTGGGAGAGAGTCAATGAGTGTGTGTGTGCTGGTGTGTGCATGCGTGTGCACCTATGCGAGGGCTCACAGTGCTGCGTCTGCAGGTCCGGACTCGTGTAGGGAGGATGATCATGTGTGTGTCTGAGTGTCTTGCTGGATTTGACTTGGCCTGTCTGTGTGCAGGAGTTTGTGTGTGTGTATCTGTGTGCTTCTGTAGATCTGTGCATGTACACATGGACATGTATGTGTCCGTGCACTGTAGGCACATATGCATATGTGAGTGTGTCCATGTGCATGTGCTCATGCTGTGCATGTTTGCCCCTGTATGCCTGGATGTTCATTTGCATGTGCATGTGTACACACCATGAGTGCATGAGTTTGTATGAGCATGCATCGCGTGTGCGTGTTTGTGTGCATTTGCACACTGGCGTGGGGTATTCATGCTGTGCCCAGGAGCCCCTTCCTATATCTGGAGTTTCTCACTTTCCTCTGCCCGGTTCCTCCCTCCCTCCCTCCGTCCCTCCTTCCCTCCTTTACTCACGGAACCCCCATGCAGGCTGGGGAGCATCACATAGGCTGCAGGGGGCCTCTGACCCCCCCTTAATTTGCACACCAAGTTTTACACATTTTTCTGGAGAGGAACCACATTTCCCAAGGGGGCTTATGTTCCTACCCTCCATACAAAATCCTAACATGTACAAAACCACAGCTCTAGAGACCTGGGGCTCTTTAGGATGGGGAGCCTTGAAATGTATCTTTTTAAACTTACAAAATCCTTGGCTACTTGTCAGGAGAAACATTTCCAGCCTGGGGTTCAGAATGCAAGCTCTGTGGCCAGACGGACCTGAGTTCCAGCCCTGACTGCTGCCCACAGCATGTCCTAGACCCCGGAGCCGCATCTTTCCAGCTGTAAAATGGTAGTCATAGCAGAGTGCGGGCCAGGCGTGGTTTGAGGGCTCAGGCCTGTAATCCTAGCACTTTGGGAGGCGGAGGCAAAAGGATCATTTGAGGCCAGGAGTTCAAGACCAGCCTGGTCAACATAGTGAGACCCCATCTCTACAAAAAATTAAAGAATTAGCCAGGCATAGTGGCACTTGCCTGTAGTCCCAGCTACTTGGGAGGCTGAGGCAGGAGGATCTCTTGAGCCCAGGAGTTGGAGGTTACAGTGAGCTACGATGACACCATTGCACTCTAGCCTGGGCAACAGAGCAAGACCCTGTCTCAAAAAAAAACAACCAAACAAATGAAAAATCACCCTGCAGAGCCAAGAGTTGAAAAAAAAAATAGGGTGCAGAATTTAAATGAGCTACAAGGCCCTGGGCACAACTCCTGGCATGTGACAAGCGTGGTAAATTGAGCTGCTGTTCGTGCAGCAGACAAAGCAAACGGAAAGCCCTCCTCACCTGCAGAGGTGGCAATTTGAGAAGAGAGTATAATTTTTTCTAACTTTATGGACACATATCTGTATATGTGCACATGTGTAAATAGTTGTCTCTCTCTCTCTCTCTCTCTCTCTCTCTCTGTCATTTTACTAGAAATGCAGTCATCCTATATCATTGGTCTGTGCTTATTTTTTTCCCCTGGCCCTGGTGTGACAGCCGGTGTTCAGGCCCAGCGTGAGGACACCTTGGGCTTTCTCAGAGCAGCTGGTTGTCTGTGCCTGGTGGTTCCATGGCTACTTAGGCTTTTCCCGGTTTTGTGCCATTCCTGATGGTGCTGCAGCAAGCACCTGTCCCTTCTGCGTGGGATGGCCTGGCCGGGGCTCTGTTGAACTCCTGCCACTTCATGGGCAGGCTGCACTGTCCCTTCTTCCAGCCTTGCCACCTCCAGGCCTTTGCCTCAGCATTTCCTCCTCCTGTACTGATTCCCGTGTGACACAGGTGAAGGGAGTTAATCCCGAGGCCCCTAAATCGAGTTAGTTGACTGGTCCTGGCCGAGGACTTTCTCCTTCTGGTGGGCTGGGGTAGGGGCAGGGCAGCGGCCAGGGGGTGCTGGATCGTGGTGGGCGAGGACTCCTCAGTGCTGGCTGGGACATTCCAGGTGCTCAGTGGCGCTCAGCCCTGCACGGGGTCATGGGCACTGTGTTTTTTTCAGGGGCCAGGGAAGGAGGGATGGTTTCAGGTGACCCTTCTCAGCCTGGGCGCCCCCACCCCCGACACTTTCCTTTGTGTCCTCAAGCCCAGGGTCAGCGGGTTCCCAGGCTGGGGCCTTCACAGAGTCACAGACCGTGGCTCAAGGAGATGGGGAGGGGACGGGAGCTGAGGCCTCTGGGATGGAGTCAGAAGCTGGGCTGGGCCGTCCACATTCCCAGGTTCAAATCTGGCTTCTCCATGCACCGGCTCTGTGACATAAGCCATTGTCTTCACCTCCCTGAGCCTCAGTTTCCCCTCTGTGAAATGGGGGCAGGGGAGTGCCTTCCTGGCTCACCATTGCAGGGTGGTGTAAATACCCTTAGCATACAGTAAGTGCTCACCATTGCAGTGCAGTATGATTATCAGTTGGCATTTGAAGAAGTCAGTCCTCTAGGCTTGGGACATTGATTGCACATGGCGGCCATCACACAGAGGGAACGCGAGACAGGGCCTCTCTCACGTGCCGGCGGAGGGGCAGACACGAGTCACCAGCTTAATTCAGCGTGACAGGTGTGCAAAGTGCCGCGGGGCCCAGGGCAGGGAACGATCAGGTGTGCTCAGGTCGGGGTGGAAATGGGACAGGATGGAGGGAAGAGGCCACACCACAGTGGGGCTGTGAAGGTAGGAGGTGCCACCCAGGGAGGTGGAGGAAGAGCCCCCCAGGCAGTGCCCGGCACCAGCAAAGGTGAGGAATCTATGTGTGGGCACAGGAGATCCGAGGGCTGGGGAGTCGGGGTGGGCTGGGGGACGTGGCCAGGTTTCCATTGTGTGACACCCCTCTAGGGAGGGACCGAGGGGCAGGAGGAGAAGCCACTGAGGTTGTCCAGGTGGGAGGCAGGAAGCAACGGTGGCCTTGATGGGTCAAGGTTGGAGAGAAGAGATGTTGAGGAAGGGGAGCCCCGGGAAGTGCCCCACCCCCATCTTGCCCAAGACCTCCCAAGAGCCCCCAGCATGGGCTGCCCCACCCAGGGCCATGAAATTCACCCCTCAGCCACAGAGACTCCCACCAGGGCCCAAAGGACTTTGCGAGCTTAGGGGTCTTTTCGGCCTGGGCACTCATGACTCCTAGAGGAAACTCGGACCTCCTCGCCTATCCTCCTAGAGTCCCTGGCAGGGGGCCCTACATGGCACTGAGCTTCCTCTCTTTGGGTCTGTTTCAGGAACTGGTGCTCATATGTGGTGACCCGCACCGTCTCATGCCACGTGCAGAATGGCACCTACCTGCAGCGAGTGCTGCAGAACTGCCCCTGGCCTATGAGCTGCCAGGGGAGCAGGTAGGGAAGGAGCTACTGCACGCAGAGGCCTGGGGGCGGGATTGCATGGGGAGTGCAGGGGACAGCTGGACCCCAGGGTGGGTGGAGCAAAGGCAGCCTTGGCCCTAGGCCTATTCTCAGACCATCCCTCTGTGCTCTTGGGGCACCCTGGAGGGCTCCCTGGGGAGGGATGCACCATTCTGCAGCCCAGCCTGCAGGGCTTCCTGTCTAGCCTGCGTCCAGTACCCCAGGCTGGGGGCTCGGGGGGAGTGCTGAATCCCAGAATGCAAGAGGAGAGAGACTCCAAAGGGACCCGCAGGTGGCTGAGGATCCTGGAGGCTCTGCGTTTGTCCCCTTGGGTGTGGGGGTGGTGGAAAAGCCACAGAATACCCTGTCTAAGCCGGGCCACCTGCGGACTCTTGCAGCTACAGAACAGTGGTGAGACCCACGTACAAGGTGATGTACAAGACGGTGACCGCCCGTGAGTGGAGGTGCTGCCCTGGGCACTCGGGGGTGAGCTGCGAGGAAGGTAGGATGCCCGGCTGGCTCCTGGAGCCCTGCGACGGCAGGCACACAGGAGCACAGTTACTCGGTCCGTAGGCGCTGCACACGCACAGGGCCGAGCCCGCCGGAGCCCGCCGCACAGGGCCCGGCACAGACACAGCTGGTGCCTGTTGTCCTCCCGCCCCCGCGGTGACTCCTGGGAGAATGTTACACCTGCCGCGTAGCTCACGTTTTAAGTCACAGCGTTCCACGTCTTCCCTCCACACTTGGGAGAAACCCATCTGTGGCTATACCCACCCTGCCCGAGGACACCGGGGCCCAGGAAGGTGATGGGCAAAGTCGGGATTCGAGCCCTGTCTGCCTGGTGCTGCTCCCTGCCCCACCTCTGGGCCTCCGGATGGGAGAACTCAGTCGGGCACCCATGTGTGGGGCATGTGCCCGGCAGAGGGACTCCTCTCACCCCACCCACCTTCGTCATGTGCAGCACCGGGTGGCTCAGGGCCGAGCCCAGGGCAGGGACAGAGCCCGGCCACTCTGTCACCTGGAGAGCCCTCTCCCCTCCGGGACACCTGCCTCTCTGCTGAGCAGTCCGGCCCCTCCCAGCCCCCTGCCTGGCTGAACCCAGCAGGCGGCAGGTTTTCAGGCACTAAGAGTTATGTTCCCAAGCATGTCCCTAAAGAGGATGGGCTGGCCTAGAAGCCGCCCCGCCCGAGAGCCTGGCCCAGAGATCCCTCGGTGGAAAGAGGGTCCTCAAAGTAGCACGTGGATGTGAACATCAGTTGCAGGATGTATCATGACTCCAGAAACACAAGCGTGTAAAAACGCGGCCTCCGAGTCCAGGGAAGGTAGTGCTAGCAGGAGCCACTTCTCGTAGGTGTCTCCTGAGAGATTTACACGCTTCACTTCCTGTGGACCCTGAAACAGCCCAGTTCACAGATGGGGAAACTGAGGCCCAGAGAGATGGATCGAGTGCCCAGAGTCACACAGGCATGGGGATGGGGGCAGAACTCAGCACAAAGTGGGGGCGGGAGGGGGTCTGGCGGGTTCTGCCTTGGGGTGGGGGAGTCCCCAAGGGAGCTGGGAGGGATGCGGTGGCTGGAGGGACAGCTGAGCCACCCCAGGCCAGATGCCACGCAGAGAGGCAGCCACGTGGGAGTGGCATGGGGAACTGCGCCCTCCCCTCCCCTCCTTGGTGGGAGGAAGCGGGGAAGGCAGAAGGGCCTGAGGGGCCGGGGCAGCGCCAGCCAGGAGGGGCGGCTGCCAAGCAGGCCACAGAGGAGCCCTGGTGGGGAGGGGCGGATCCCCCCGGCCCAGACAAAAGCCACTCTGTCCCTGTCTCCCCTCCCAAGGGCAGACCTTCCCTGCGTCTGGGCCTTCACGGAGAGGGTGACGGCCGAGTGCAGGTAGAGGCAGCTCCCGTGCCCTTGAGCCCAGCTGCTGGAGGCCGCACTGCCAGCAGCCAGGCTGAGGGCTGAGGGCTCAGTGGGAGGCAGGGGTGCGAGATGGGCACCCGGCCAGGCCAACCCTGATGTCTGCCAGCTCCCTCCGAGGGGCCTTCGGGTCCCAGCCTGGGGACGGGGGTACCCAGGCTCCCTGAGCCAGGCCAGCTCTGCCACACTCCAGCTGTGTGGCCGTGGGCCAGGGACTCCCCGTCCGTTGTGCAAGTCATTGTGCAGGGGGCACCGAGCTGGGGGTGGGCTGCCATCCAGGTGGCGTTCTTCTCCTGCACACCCGGGAGGAGGAGGCCTTCGCTAAGGGCGCCAGGCTGCCGGGTGCGCCTGCAGCAGCCTCAGCGTCCTCAGCTGCGAAATGGGCAGAGTGGTAGAGTCCAGGGACGTGGCCAGGATGACACGAAGCAGCAAAGCCCCGCACGTGGCTTGGCAGCCCCTGGTAGGCGCTATGCGATGACCAGTGGGACAGGAGGGGCTCTCCCCAGCCACAGGGTCGGAGTTGAGGAAAGGGAGGTGGATGCCCAAGTATTCCGGAAATCTGCTCTGCTGGGGCCGTGGGAGTGGGGCAGAGCAGCGTGGGGACACTCCTGGCCCATCCCAAGCCCCGCCCTTCCTCCTGCAGCTGGGTTCAGGCCGGGCCCCTGCAACCGCTTCGCCTGCTGGCGACTGCCCTTGCGGCCTGCCCAGTGCTGTGACCTGACCCTGGGGCCTGAGAGCTGTGTCACCAGGGGCCACAGGGCCCAGAGCAGCCCGGGATGGGCTGAATTCCACACTTCCACCCTGGATCATTTGTGCTCTGCCGTGTGACTTGGGGCAAGTCTGAACCTTGGCTTTATCTGGAAGTCACCTGGGATTGAGAGCTGGGTGCTCACGCCTGGCACTTAGTAAAGGCTCCATAATGTCTTCCTCTCCCCTCCCGCCCCCTGTGCTGGGGATTCTGTGGTGACCCAGCAGACGCAGCCCTGCCTGCTGCCACCTCCGAGACCCCACTTCTCTGTGAGGCTGGCGGGCTCTGGTGAAGGACTTCACTGCCCTTAGCCCATTTTCTCGTCTGCAGAATGGGGGTGTTCACTCTGCGACAGGGAGCGAGGATGGTCTCATTTGATGTTCACAACAAACAGGAAGGGGCTAGAACAGGCCCCATCTTACACATGGGGAAACTGAGGCTCAGAGAGGTGAATGGACTGGCCTGAGGGGAACCAGCATTGGGACCTGTGCCTCCAGGCCTGGGGAGGCGGGGCTGGCTGAGGCTGTCGCCTGGTACCCTGTTGTCAGAAACAGTGGGCCCAGGTAAGGACGGGCTCAGGCCAGAATGCACCACTTGGGCCGGGTGGGGGCGGGCAGAGGGCGGGCACGATGTCAGGGTCACATCAGGAGGCTGGTCAGGGCCCAACAAGCACCTTTTCTGGGCTTGGGCCTGACCCCCTGCCCTGGGCTGGCAGGTCCTGCTGATAGCAGGGGCTGCAGCAGCCACCTCCGTGTCACCTTGACTCAGGGGGGCTCCCTGCAGACAGATCTCTCACCCATCAGCCCCGTTGTCCAGATGATGATGGTGAGGCTCAGAGAGGGTGTGGGTCTCACACCAGGTCACACAGCAGGTAAGCACTGTGGCATCCCCAGGCCCCAGACACTCCCACAGTAATAATGACAAAGGGGAAGGAAAGCTGCCCCCGTCCTCTGTGCCGGGCACGGCAGCTCGTATCCGCTTGCATCATGCCAGTGTGTCCTGGCACAGGAGGCCCCGAAGCAGAAATTGAGGCTGTAGGGGAGACACCTTGCCCAGGGTGCCAGCTTATGAACTGAGGAGCCGGATTCAAACCCAGTCAGTCTGACCCTGGAGCCGGGGTCTTTCCCCTGCAGTGGTGCCGGCCGAGGACTTCTGGGGGAGCGTGTTCAGACGGTTGGGGCTCTGTGAGGCTGGTGGGTCTGGTCTCAGCACCAGCCCCTCCCAGACAGAAGGGCAGAGGGCTGGTGGAGCCGGGCTGCCTCTGCTTCCCCTGCGTAAGTCCTGTTGTCTTCAGCACCTGTGTCGCTTCCGTGGACCCTCACAGCCCTTGTCCTCCGAGATAGGGAAGCCGAGAGGGGAGCTTGCCCAAGGTCACACCACAAAGTAGCCTAGGAGGAGACCTGAGGCTGCAGCCTGGGCCCTTCCCAGGCCCCTCAGCCCCGCCCACCGCCCAGGGCCCGGCGCTTCCCACACACACCTGGCTCTAATCGGGCGCCAGGTGCGGGCCAGGCCTGTGCTTTACTTTAGATGCAGTGTCCCCAGGGCTAAACACTACGCAATCCGCCCGCATCCACCACCGTCCACCCGCACTCCTGTCTGGGAGGTCTGGCAGCCCGCACCTCCCCGCCAGCCCGTCCTGCACACCCAGGCAGGGACCCTGCCCGTGGGACCAAGGCCCAGCATCGCCCCAGACTTGCCCTCCCTCAGTTGATCCTTTACCCACACTGGCCTCCTCTCCCATCTGGGGCCTCAGCAATGGCTGTCCCCTCTGCCTGCCACCCTCTGGGTGCTCCCACCTGGCTGAGGTGGCCCACCCTGCCATCACACTCCCGCATCCACGGTGCCTGGCGTGGGCCTGGTGTAAAGTAGATGCCTGGGAACTGAATGGGAACTTTGCCCACCCCACCCCCAAAGAGGGGGCCAGGCTGGACACAGAGGCCTCCTGGCTGGGTTCTGGGAGCTCCCACCCCAGCTCCGACCCTCACTCCTGGCTCTGGCCACCAGCAGCGAGTATTTACATTTGCAAAGTAAATTCCTTGCAGTAGACCTGCAAGGGTGGGACTGGGGAGGAGCCCAGCAGATCTGGGGGGTCAGTCATGAATGCGGAAGCCCCTCCCTGCCCTCCTCTCTGGGAGAGAAAGTCGCAGAGGTGGAGCCCAGGGACATGCCCCAACCTTTCACAGCCTCCTTCCCAGTTTAGGGCAGGGCTGGAATCCGGGCTCCCACCCTCCCGCTGCGTGGGCAGAGCAGGCAACCTCCCCTCTCTGGGCCTCTGTGTCATGGGGCGCAGAACCCACGAGAAGGAGCTCAGAGCCTCCTAGCTCAGGCCTTGCACCGGGAAGAGGGAAGAAACTCCAGACAGCGCTGGAGGTCAGGACGTGATGATGAGAGCTTCAGCGGGGCTTTGGTAGCAGTGGGTGCCCTGGTCTGTCTGGGAAGGCTTCCTGGAGGAGGTGACATGGGCCCAGCAGCTGCAGGGATTGGCGGAGGGCGTGGATGCGCATGTGTGTGTGTGTGTGTGTGTGTGTGTGTGTGTGTGTGTACACGCATGCGCGCATTTGTGTAGGGCACGTGAGGACCTCCCAGATGGTGGGGAAGTGGCCCACAGTCGGGCTCCCAGAGTGGAGCTGGGGTTTGTGGTCCCAGGAGAAGCCCTTCAGGAGGGACCACTAGGCCAGGGTGAGGGGGGTCTCAGCCCACCAAGGCCTGTTTCAGGGCCCCTGGCCAAACACCAGTGGGAGGGATGTGACATTTTTGTCCAACAGGAGACCTCCCCCCAACCGGTGGCTTCTTTCTTACTGGAATTTTGTGTGCTACGGGGCCATTTTACAACTTGGGACGTCCTTTAAAGTATTTCTGCCCATTTATCAGAATTTTGGAGACTTTTTGAATAATTTCTGTGAATTTTGAATCCAAAGTCAACATTTTCTGGTCTTTTTGACGGTTTTGCTCTTTCTTTAAGCTTTTTTCCCCTTCAATGTAAATTCATGATTACTTTGAGCCTCTGAAGTCTGCGCTGCCGGTCAGGCCGTGTTTCTGTTAATTTTTCTAATTCTCTCTGGCTCCTGGCAAAACGTCCAAAAACAAACTGGTTGAAAAAGAATTTCCAACCACAGGTTTACAGATGAATAACTCTCGGGGACACCCTCATGTGACATTAGGACATTTTGCTGATCTGCGAGACAGTTGTGTCTGCCTTTTATTTCGTTTGCTTGCTTGAAATTAATTTTCAAGCGTTCATTTAATTACAAGCATTTCATGCGTTTATCAGCAGAAGTTTTACGTAGGCTCTTGAGGTCCTACTGGGTGCCGGACACTGTTCTAGGCTAAGCACTTCTTCGGGTCAACTTCCTGAAAAGAGTAATAAAATGGCATGGTACATCTCCACCTGGGAGCTAAGAGGATGACGAGGGCTTGACGAGGCCATTCTTCTCAGGCACCGGTGCTCCTGCTGGACACTGGGCCTCCCTGCTGGTGGCCCCCCAAAAAAGAGGTGGGGCCCTGCAGTTGGACTGCCTGCTTCCTTCCCGGGGACAGCCGTGGGCAAGTCACTTTACTCGTCTGCCTCGTTTTCCTCCAAGAGAAAAAGTGGGGATGAGTCTTATACACTCATCGTTTTTCTGAGCATGGGGGACAGTGAGCTGCCCCATGCCTCAGTTTCCCTGTCTGTAAGGTGAAGGTGAACTCGCCCCACTCACAGTTCAGACTGTATACGTGAAGTGCTTAGAATGTGCCAGGCCCTTTCTGCTCTTAGTGAACGCTAGGCAGGAGTTAGCCGTGGTTATTAGCTGCCTGCTAGGATCGAGCTGGGCTGCCTGACGCACGTAGCCTGGGCCTGGTTCACAGCGACGGCCCCTGTCCAGAGACCCCAGGACCTGCCCCAGCCCTGGGCTGGCAACCCGCCTTCCTCCCTCCTGGGTGAGGTTTACCCCCTGTGTCTAGGCAAGTCACAGGCCCTTGGGGACGCAGGCTCAGCCTGAGCGCAGGCCGCATGGTGGGACCCGGAGCAGGGCCTGGCAGCCTCCCCCTGGGGGCTGGCCAGAGGGGCCTGTCTGGTTTGAGTTCCCAGCGGCGCCTCTTGCTCCCTGCGTCAACCCACAGCCCAGCTCCACGCTGCCAGGCCCACGCCTTATTTGGGCCTTGTCTCCCCCCAGACGACACTGCGAGGCCTTAAAAGGCAGGCCCTGGGGGTGGAGGGGGACGTTGCCACTGGCTGCCCAGCCCCTCCAGCTGTGCCCCCGCCCCTGGCTGGGCCAGCCCGTCCCTCCAGCTGTGGAGAAAACCAGGCCCCCAAAGCCAGACCAGCCTGGGCAGCCGCCACCAGTGGGGATGGGCTCCCAGGCAGCCCGCCTCCCTCTGGTTTTCATTTAAAACCAGGGCTGGATCCACTTCAGTCTCTTCTTACCAAGCGGGGCAGGGGGAGCGGGGACGGCAGCGGTCGCAGAGCCCCGACTGTGTGCCGGGCCCTGTGAGCACACAGTGGGCGCCTTGCACACAGGGCCATCCTCAGGCCGCATATCAGCCCCGGAGGTGTAGAGGCTTTAGTATCCCATTTCACAGATGGGAAAGTAGGTCCAGAGAGGACAAATCACACAGGTCAGCAAAGGACGGAGCTCAGACCCGAGCTTGTCTGTGAGCTCTAAACTCAACCCAGGCAGCTGGCTGGGGTTGTTGGGGAAGCCCCCAGCCCCATCCTGGTCACCAGTCCCTCTCACCAGCCCCATCCGGTGGCCAGCCTTGCCCTAGCTCAGCCCAGCTCATGCCGTGTGACCCAGGTGAATTGCCCCACCTCTCTGAGTCTTTGTGTCCCTTTGCTCTGAGGGGAGGAGGGGTCCCTGCTGGGGCGACAGTAACAGGGGGCCTGAGGCGACAAGGATGGTGTGGCTGGCCGGGCTCTCACCCTCTCCGTCCCTCAGTGGCAGGCTCCTCCGGCTTCGTGGAGCCCGGGTGGCCGGGCAACACCATGCGGCGGATGGCGCTTCGGCCCACAGCTTTCTCAGGTGGGTCCTGGGGTGGCTTTGGGGGCTCCCCTGGGCTGGGGGAGACCTGCAGGGGCCCAGAGCAGTGTGACAACTGTCCTAAAATCCAGCCGGGTCCAGCAGTGGAGGGCCAAGGACAGGACCCCACCCCCAGGCTGGACAGAGAGCTTTGAGGGCCAGAGGAAGGGCCCAGGCACCCTGAGACCCAGGACTCTGTACTCCTGCAGATGCAGGCCCAAGCCCCACTGCTGCCTCTTTTTATTCAAATGACGCTTTTCTGAGTGTCCAAATGTGCCAGGCCGTGTGCTGGGCACTTCCCATCATCGGCTTCTTTAAACCTCACAACTTTCCACAAGCCTTTCCCCCACCATTGTCCCCATTTTTAAAGAGGAGGAAGCTGAGGGTCAGAGAGGACACCTGCGCTGCCCGAGGCCCCACGGCCAGGAGGAGACAACACTGGGACTGGCCCCTGGGTATTGTACTTGTTGGGCACCCACTCACCCCTGCCCTGAGCTCAGCGTCCTCAGGTGTGAATGAGGGTGACACCCCTGTCAGGTACAGGGTTGTGGTGAGGGCCGGAGACACCAGCTGGCTCAGGACTGGTCGGTAAATACCCAGGGCTGTTACGAGTGGCTCAGGTCTCACAGAGGGGGCAGGGCCAGAGGAGCTGGACAGTGGTTGGGGGAGGGTCACAGGATGGCACCTCTGAGGCCAGCCCAATCCAGACTGCGCTGTCAGTCCCCAAAGGCCCAGCCCTGCCCAGGCAGGAAGCAACAGTATTTCCTGTCCTGGCTTCTGGGAAAGGGGTCATTTTGGACACAGAGGCTGTCAGAAGTCAGGTCCCTGGCCCTGCTCTGGGAGAAACGGGTCCACCGTGGAGGCTCTGACGTCAAAGGAAACCTGCAAGGCCTGGTCCATCCTGGACCTGCTGCGATTCTGTAGCCCCTTCCCCACCCTGGGCACCTTCATGGGCTGGGGTTATGAGGTGTCTGTCCCCTCCATCCATCCCTCCCCCCAGGGGCTGAAGAGCTCCAAGGGGGAACCTGGGACCCCTGGCCGCAACCCCAGCCTCTCCCCTCCCTGCAGGTTGTCTTAACTGCAGCAAAGTGTCAGAGCTGAGCGAGCGACTGAAGGTGCTGGAGGCCAAGGTGGGTGAGCAGCTCCTCCTTCCCCACCATCGCCTTCCCTGCACGCATGCCGGGTGCCGGGAAGCGACCCCACAGCACAGCCCCGAGCTAACTCTGCAGGCAGCTTCCCCGTCAGGCACGCCTGGCCTCTCCTCCAGTGCCCCTCCCTGGGAAGCCTGCTCACAGGCTGTGCCTCGGTTTCCCCATCTGTAGAGTGGAGGTGATACTAGCACCCACTTACAGTTAAGACTGTATACATGGGCCAGACATGGTGGCTCACGCCTGTAATCCCAACACTTTGGGAGGCCGAGGTGGAAAGATCGCTTGAGGCTGGGGGTTTGAGACCACCTGGGCAACATAGTGAGACCCCATCTCTACAAAAAATTTAAAAATTAGCTCGACATGGTGGCACATACCTGTAGTCCCAGCTGCTCAGGAGGCTAAGGCAGGAGAATCACTTGAGCCTGGGAGCTTGAGGTTTTAGCGAGCTATGATTACACCACTGCACTCCAGCCTGGGCAACAGAACAAGACCCTGTCTCAAAAAAAAAAAGAAAGAAAGAAAAATGTAAGACATTCTGGATTTAGAAGCGTGAAAAACTCAGAAATGTGAAAAAACAACCAGAAACCATTCTCAGCAATTGTCTGCGCCCCCAAAGAGAGCCACTGTCGACATTTAAGCATCTTTTCTTCCAGATTTTCTAAACATGGAGACATATAGAGAGACACATGCACACTTGTGTGCTCCCTCATTCCCGCCTCTGGGAATTTATCTTAAGAAAATGATCAGATGCAAAAATGTTTACCAAAGTGTTAACAATCAGTAGAGAAATTTGCAAACCAGGCCACAGAAGGGGTGGTTGCATAACTATGGGCATCTGCTCTGTGGAATACTAGGCACCCGTTTAAAATACCTCTGACACGAACAGGTGCCTCTGATGTAACTAACGAGGGTTCCAAACAGCAGGTGCTAGAACCTGCACTCCCTGCTAGGGGAAGCCAGCCTGAGAGGCAGCTCAGTCCCAGGTCTGCCTGAGAGCGTCACCTTTTCTCTGGACAGGCCCACGTGACCCCCACTACAACCCCGGCTGACAGGACACCATCAACTTTCCAGAACCTTCCTCACCCTGGGCCTGGAAATGGATTTTGTGTACACCTCTGGGCCTCTGTTTCTTGTCAGACTTTCCCAAACTTCTCTCCAAATTTAGCGAAAATTCTCCCAGCTATAACCCTGTGGTGCTTTAACTGACTGAGAGAAGCTTCCTGTTATTTATGTAGATAAGGGTAGAAAACAACCGTGGCCCAGCATGGTGATCACAGAGCCCAACTTGGGTGGCGGTGGTGGTGTATAATGGCGCTTCTACAATCAGCGTCATGAATTGCGCACTTTGGAAAGCGCAGTCACTCCTGGTGACGTTCTGGGCCCCCACGCCACGCTGGGCTCTGCTGGCTCTGGGCCTCCTGCCTCCTGTGCCAGGGCCCCTCTTGGCTGGCCTGTCCCTGGTAAGACCCTGGTACCATCCCGTCCCTGTCTTCCTCTTCCTCCACAGGTGGCCGTGCTGACTGTCACGGAGCAGGCAGTGCCCCCGACCCCAGCGGCCCCCGAGGACCCTGCCCTGCTCTGGGGCTCCCCGGCTGCCCAGGGCAGCCCTGGAGAAGGAGACTTCGGGGGTGAGTGGGTCAGACCGGAGCGTGCTTCCGTGTGAGATTCTGGTCCCTGCCCTGCCGCTGTCTCCCAGTTCAACCCCCTCGTGGGCCTCGGTCCTCTCTTCTCTCCAGGGACTCGCAGCCCGGGCAGCGGGGTGGAGCTGGGGGTGGGCACTCTGGATGACTCCCTGCCCCCAGCCCAGTGGGGACACTGACCCCTGCCTACCCCCTACCCCAGGGCTGCCAGGAGCCAGAGAGAGTGTGAGGGCCCCGCTGCTCCCTCGAGATGGTAGGTGCCGGCTGGGGGGTCGGGGCCAGGTCGGGGATCAGGAGCCAGTCTGGAGCTGCTGACCTGATGCACTTTGCCCCCCAGATCGAGTCGGTGCTCGGGGGCTGCCTGGGCCTGCTGGCCCCAAAGGAGACGCCGGAGGCCGAGGCCCAGCAGGGATGAGAGGCCCACCAGGTGAGTGCCCACGACACTGCCCCCCACCTTCCCTGGCCATCCCCCCACCGGGTGGACCCAGACTTGGGCCTTCCCTCCATCCCCCACTTACATGGCCAGGGTGGCAGGGGCCCCTGTGCCCACTTTCTTCTCCCTCCAGGGGGCGCCCCACTCATGCCGAGCCTCTCTGAAACCCTCTCTTGCATTTACTCAGCCCGCGTTTCCCGGGCACCTGCATCAGCAGGCTCTGAGCTGGGCACTGAGGTGGGGTCAGACATGTCCCTGCCCTCCTGGAGCTCCCAGACCGGTAGGAGTGAGGGCTTGGCAGAGGGGAAACGGCAGTGCACCCCAGGTGACCCGGGTTCCTGTGGGGGATGTTGAGGGTATGGCAGCCCCATGGAGGGGAGCCCAGGCCCAGCTGGATGGCATGGAGGACAGGGGTGCTGTGCTCACCCTGCACAGATGGCCAGGGTGGGCAGGCCCCCTGCCCTGGCTGCCTTGTCCTGCCTCCTCGAGGCCACCCTGGGCCTCCCTGCTTCCTACACACCCTCACCCCTGTGATTCCATTCCAGGTCCACAGGGCCCCCCAGGGAGCCCTGGCCCAGCTGGAGCTGTGGGCACCCCTGGAGAGAGGGGACCTCCGGGCCCACCGGGACCTCCTGGGCCCCCTGGCCCCCCAGCCCCCATTGGGCCAACTCATGCCCGGATCTCCCAGCATGGTGAGTCTCCTGGGGTCCGGCAGGTCGAGGTGGGGGTGGGGCGAGGGTGGAGTAGCCATCACCGCGGTGCCCGCTGCCATCTGCCGGCGCCTTCTGTGTGGCGGGCAGTCCTACAGCAGGCGCTGTTGCTCCTGTGTTCACAGAGAAGGAACAGAGAGCGCCGGAGAGGGGAGGTCACCTGCCAGGGTCCCACCGCCAGGGCGTGGGGGAATGGCTTCAAACCCAGGCAGCCTCCGGAGCCTGTGCTCAGAGCCACCTGGCACCGGGCCCTGCCCAAGCCGTGGAGCTGGCCAGAGTCCAGCCCTCGGAGCAGTGGGGAAGGTCAAGGCCCGGCAGCAGGAAGAGAGCCCCAAGCTCCCAAGGCTGCAGGCCTGGCCCTATGCTTGGAGGGGTCCTGGGTCCTCCTCCCGGCTGGGCCTTGACTTGCTTCCTTGACCTCTGCCCTTTGGCAGCCCGGCCTGACCGCACGTGGGGCAGAGCATGGAGCTCCAGGTTCACCCTCATCTCCATCGCGTCTTCGGTGTGTGGCCAGCACCATGTCACTCATTCCCCCCGCACCGTTCGTTCCGTCCGCTGTTCATTCTCCCTCTCCAAGCCTCGGTTCCCATCTGTCCAGTGGCGACAGTGACAGTGCCAGCCTCCCAGAGCTCTGTGACGACACCCATGCACCGAAGCCTGGCCCTCTGTAGGTGGTCAGTAAATGGTAGCTTTTATCATGTGACAGGTGGCAGTACAGGCTCAGCAAAGTGGAGAGTCCTGCTGGGTGTCACCAGCTAGACTGCAGTGGGGTTAGAACCCCGGTTTCCCTGCCTCCTGGTCTTGCGTGGCCAACACTGTCCCTACTTCCCACCCTGGGAGCAGGTGCCCAGTGGCCCCAGCCGTGCTGCAGGCTGCCCTGCAGGGCAGTCAGAGCAGTCTTGGCAGAGGTGGCTGCTGAGGACTGACCGCCCACTCCACCCAGCTCTGCTCACTCACTGTCTCTCCTCTCCCAGGGGACCTGTTACTGTCCAACACCTTCACTGAGACCAGCAGCCACTGGCCTCAGGGACCCACTGGGCCCCCAGGCCCCCCAGGCCCCGTGGGTAAGTTGAGTCTAGGCCTGGGGTAGGGGGTGGAGTTAGTAGATGGCAGAGGGAGGGCTGTGGCTGTCAGGAGGAAGCTGACGGGGGACTTCCTCGCATTGTACTCTGTCCTGGCCCTGAGGACATCCTGTCTTCTTCCAGGTCCCCCTGGACCTCCTGGCCCCACAGGTGTCCCTGGGAGTCCTGGACACATGGTGAGTTGTTCTCCAAGTGCTCCCTCTCCTGTGTCCCTGCATCCATTTATCCATCCTTTCATTCATTCATTCATTCAATAAGTATTTATTGATCACTTAATATGCAAACTACTTTCCATAATCTTCTCATTCAATCCATGTAACAAGAAGCAAGTATTGTTACCGCCTAAGGCCAGAAAAGTGGAGATTCTCGCCCCAGGGCTGTGGCCAGCACATGGCAGCATCTATGTGTTGGAGTAGGACTGTCTGACTCCAGGGTCAGACCTCTTCACACCAAGCCATATGAGCTGCCCGCTGTGTGCCAGGCCTTGGGTAGATGATGAAGAGCCCAGAGGCCCAGGCCAGGCTGGGGCTCCCTGCCCAGCACCCCTGCCCCCAAGCCCTGCCCACTTCATCCCACCCAACACAAGGCTGAAGCCCTGTCTTGTTGCACAGGGACCTCCAGGCCCCATTGGACCCAAAGGACTCTCTGGGCACCCAGGAGAGAAGGGCGAGAGAGTGAGTAGCCAGGCAGCCCTGCATCAGGCATTCTGGGGAGTCCTGGGGGCCCCAGATCAGAGCCCCCAACAGCTGACGCCACTCCTCTCCTCCCTCCTACACAGGGACTTCGTGGGGAACCCGGGCCCCAAGGCTCTGTGGGGCAGCGGGTAAGTGATGCTGTCCCTGCAGCCACCCCTGCAGGGTCCCCCAGGCCCACACTCCTGCTCTGGCTCCAGTCCCTGTGACCAGAGCCCCTGACCCTCCCTGGCTGGCCCAGGGTGGCTCCATCTCCTCTCAGTAGCTCCCTGTCCCTGGGACCCATTGTTCTCTTAGGATCTCCCTCTGTGTGTCTGTCTCTTGGACTCTGTATTTCTCTCTCTCTCTCTCCATCTCTCCAATTCTGATTGCAGATTTTTCCATTTCTCCCTTTAATTTGGTCCATTTTTGCTTTATGTATTTTGAATCTTTGTTATTAGATGCATACACATTTAGGATTTTAATGTCTCCTTGGTCATTTTACTTATGAAATTAATATCTTTTTGCTTGAGCCCAGGATTTCGAGGTTGCAGTGAGCTATGATCACGCCACTGCGCTCCAGCCTGGGTGACAGAGCAAGACCCTGTCTCTAAAAAAAAAAAAAAAAAGAAAAAATGAAATTAATAGCTTAATATCTTTACCTCTTTTTTTCTATTTTTAGTAGTTCTGGGCTAATTTTTCTGTTTTTAGTAGAGACGGGGTCTCAAGTCAGGAGTTTGAGACCAGCCTGAGTAAGAGCGAGAAGCCATCTGTACAAAATATAAAAAATTAGCCTGGTGCGGTGGCGCATGCCTGTAGTCCCAGCTACTCAGGAGGCTGAGGCAGGAGGATTGCTTGAGCCCAGGATTTCGAGGTTGCAGTGAGCTATGATCACGCCACTGCGCTCCAGCCTGGGTGACAGAGCAAGACCCTGTCTAAAAAAAAAAAAAAAAAAAGAAAAAATGAAATTAATAGCTTAATATCTTTACCTCTTTTTTTCTATTTTTAGTAGTTCTGGGCTAATTTTTCTGTTTTTAGTAGAGACGGGGTCTCAAGTCAGGAGTTTGAGACCAGCCTGAGTAAGAGCGAGAAGCCATCTGTACAAAATATAAAAAATTAGCCTGGTGCGGTGGCGCATGCCTGTAGTCCCAGCTACTCAGGAGGCTGAGGCAGGAGGATCACTTGAGTCCAGGAGTTTGAGGTTGCAGCGAGCTATGACAACATCACTGCACTCTAACCCAGGCAACAGAGTAACACCCTGTCTCAGAAAACAAAACAAAACAACAACAAAAAACACTTTAGAATCAGTTTGTTGATACAAAAAAATTACTTGCTGGGATTTTGACTTGGATTGCATTGAATCTATAGATCAACTTGGGAAGAAGCGACATCTTGACAATATCGAGTCTATCTATCTATGAACATGGACTATCTCTCCATTTATTTAGCTCTTCTTTGATATCTTTCATCTGAGTTTTGTAGTTTTCTTCACGTAGATCTTGTACATATTTTGTTAGAATTATACTTAATTATTTCATTTTGGGGAGTGGTAACTAAATGGTAATGTGTCTTTAATTTCAAATTTCACTTGTTCATTGCTGGCATATAGGAAAGTGATTGACTTTTGTATATTAACCTTGTGTCCTGCAAGCTTGATATTATTGCTTATTAGTTCCAGGAATTTTTTTATCAATTCTTTTGGATTTTCTACATAGACAATCATGTCATCTGCAAACAGTTTTATTTTTTCCTTCCTAATCCATATACATTTAAATTCCTTTTCTTGTCTTATTGCATTAGCTAGGACTTCCAGTATGATATTGAAAAGCAATGGTGAGAGGGAACATCTTTGCCTTGTTCCTGGTCTTAGCAGGATAGCTTTGAATTTCTCACAATTAAGTATGATGTTAGTGGTAGATTTTTTGTAGATGTTCTTTATCAAGGTGAGGAAGTTTCCTCTTTCTAGTCTGACAAGAGTTTTTATCACGTTGGATTCTGTCAAATGCTTTTTCTGCATCTATTCATATGATCATATGATTTTTCTTCTTTAGCTAGCCGATGTGATAGATTACAGTCATTGATTTTTTTTTT